GGGACGTGCGGCGGAGGGAGTGGTGCTGCTCATTGGCTGCCCCTTGCTGCGCGTCCCCGCGCTGTCCCGAGGGCCTCCTGCGAGGCTCTTGTCCCTGCTCTGCACCGAAAGTCCCGAGTTGGCCCCTGGTGCCCGAGACAGCTCCTGCTTCAAGGACGGAGGTGCCAGTCCAGGTTAATGCCAGCTGTGTGTAGCTGGGTCTCTGAGGCCGTCTGCTTGGTCCCGGCTTTGAGGTGACCGTCAGAAAGCACAGGAGCTTGTTCTGGTGCTGAACCCTGTGGCCGTGGCCACAGCCCAACTCCAAAACGCCTGTCTTTCAACCCAGATCTTCTGGAGAGTTAGGGGGGTCCCATGGCTCACCACAGGCAGGCAGCTAGGCAGGCCAGTGACACGAGGTCCGTGTCTCCATCACCTGCAGTGGGGCAGATCTCTGATATGGCCAAGGCAGCCTTTTCTCCTGGAGATGCACTTGAGTAGATGCAAGAACTGAGCCAAGATCGGCTGTCTCGTGAGATCCTCCCTTTCCCATCACCTCGGCTCTGCTGGGACAAGCCCAGGCAGCAGCTGCTTGTTCAGGAGCCCGTTGGCCTGTTGGGTGCTGGAGCCCCAGTGCGGTGGCAGAAGGACGGGGTGCCCCAGGGTCTTCTGATGAGCGTCATTCAGCCACGAGCGACATGGGGTACAGGCGAGGCACCCCAGGTGGGTCCTGCGGCAGAAGGGAGGGTGCAGGAGCCTAAAAATGGGTCTTTGCTGACACCAAAATCCCCATGGCCCAGCCTCTCGCACCGAGCCACCTGGCTCGCTCCAGTGCTGCCCCACAGTGGCTTTGACAGCGAAAGGTAGCTGGAAACGAGCACTGGAAACAGGCGGAATGAGGGGAAGGAACCCGCTCCTGGGAGCCGGCCACGGCCCCTGGGCTGGCGGGAAGGGCCCTCTGGCTCTTGCTCCAGGCGACCGAACGGTGGAGGAAGCCCTTCTAGCGCCTCCTCTACCTCACGGCCTGGGGCATCTCCGTCCTCTCATCCCGCTCCTCGTCTTCGAGGAACCGCAGCCCCGTGCAGCCCCGCTGGGATGCGGCAGCCTGGCCTGGCCTGGCCTGCGCTCTCCGAAATCCCGCTGAAAGCCTCGTCCCGCTTGGCCCTGGTGTGGGCTGCGGCTCCGTGCGCCGCCCTCCCTCCCCAGGCAAGGAGTCCCCGTCCCCGCCCATGGCTTGTGGGTTTTCCCCACGGAGGCTTCTAGACCCAGATGCTTCTCTCTTGTTTCTCTGAACTGTCTTAAATTCTGCATTTCTCATTGCTGGCCACTTATGCCAGCTCTTAAATTTTCTTTTTTTTTTTCTTTTTAACTTTCGAGTTGCTGGATATCCATTTGTTTTCTATGCAAGTCTCTCACCACGTGCCATACGCTGGTGCCCGGCTCACCAGCCCCATTCCCAAGCGAAACCCACGCGGGTCTTTCCTCAAGTGTGTTAGTGGGGCACAGCTGGACAGCTCCTGCCCCGCGATGTGGGCTGTGGTGCCCCATAGCCGACCTGCCTCCCTCTCGCCTTCCTTGGGCCAGCAGGACAGGGTCAGCGACCTTCCCAACGCGTCGCCCTTCATCCCATTCCCATTTCTGCTGTGGGCCCGGCGCAGGCCGCTGCTCCCACTCTCCCGGAGATGAGACTGGAGCTGTCTCGCGGTGCCTATGGTTCCCCCCTCAGCAGAGCGCTGGGTCCGAGCTGCCTAGGCCTGCCGACTTTTTAAATATTTATCTCTCGGAGCTGCTCTGACAACCTCCTTCCCTGCTAATGGGCTCGAAAGCACTTCAGTGCACCTGGGTGGGAAGCATAAATCATCCTGCTGCTTTCCAAGCACGGAGCGGAGCCTCAACGTGGCTCCGTGCTGCAGGAAGGCCCAATCATGGCAGCTCCAGCTCCTCACGGGTCTGTGTCACAGCTGAGGTTCCTTTTGCTCCTCCAGACTGCACACGTGATGGCAAGGCCAGCGCCTGGTGAGATGACACAAGCCTGGCTCTAAATTGCAGCTGTTAAGGAAAACTAACAAAACAAAACAAGGAACGAGATGTGAAGAACTGATTATAAATCTTTCTATGCAAGTGTGATTTTTGGTCCCCCGTTGCTTGTCTGCACTGAGGAGGGAGGGCAGGAACAGCTGCGTGTGGCTGTTTCCAGGGAAGGGAGGCCTCGTGTGGCAGACTGTCCCCGGGGACCGTGCGCGCACAGAGGCAGCCTGGAGCTTTGTGCCTAGCTCGGGTCGAGCTCTCCCACTGCCCGCGACGCCCCGCGCTCTGCGGGCCGGACGGGGTGCCCCATGCACTGTGGGCAGTGCCGGGAGGTTTTCTTGCACCCCCAGAACAGTCCCGTGCCCGGATCCTCCTCCTGGGCGTCTGCCACGTACCTGCCCCTCTCTCCAGGATGAACCAGGCCCCCACGGTGGGCTTCGAAGGCGACGTGGGGAGTCGGACAACTCATCACTTCATGTACCCGGAGAGTGCCAAGAACCTGCCTGCCAACGTCAGCTTTGTGCTGGTGCCCTTCAAAACCCTGGACCTGCTCTGGATCGCCAGTGCCCTCTCCACTGGCCAGATCAGATTGTGAGTACTCGGCGCAGCAGCAGCCTGCAGGGCTTTGTGCTGCACATCCCTGCAGCCCCGGGGCCAGGCCATGCGGGCAGCGCTGGTGCCGGTGCAGCTTCTTGCAGCAGCTCAGCACGCTGGCAGCAATGAAAACTCACCCCTGGGGCTGCGGCCAGGGCTTGGCGCATTTTGGTCCTTCCCCCGCCCACCCCTGCGGCCTGCACCGATGCGTTTCCATTCCCTTGGTAGCTTGGGTTGGGGCTGTGGTAGCCTTGTTACCCAAAGGCCGTAACCTGCCTCTCTGCTTTTCCTCAGCACGTACGCACCCGTGAAGCCTTTCCTGCGGGTGGACAAAGAAAAGGTAAGGCCGGCACCGCAGGTCTCGTCTCCTGCCACACGGGAGAGCCCCGGGCCAGCATCCGGCCTGTTGCCTCCTCCCCAGCTGAGCCCACCAGGGACTGCAGCTGCCCTTGCAGTATCTGTGTCTTCCCGGGTCCCCACAGCCGTCCTGGCTCTCCTTCCTGAGCTGCTGGTGTTGGGCTGGCGCAGCTGGGGTGGCTGGGGACGGTGCCCCGGGCTATTCCATTAGTCCGTGTCTGAGGCGTGCGCTGCTCTCGAGCCTAGCTTCAGCCTGTCCTCCCAGGTGCAGATCTACAACCCTGCCTTCTTCAAGTACATCCACGACCGCTGGACGGAGCACCATGGGCGCTACCCCTCCACTGGCATGCTGGTGCTCTTCTTCGCGCTCCACGTCTGTGACGAGGTGGGTCGCAGGGATCACGTGAGCCCCGCGGCGCGCACCCTCCTGCACATTGGCCACCCCACTCACTGCGGCGCGCGGACGCCAGGAGGGGCCGCATGCTCTGGCCGGGCTTGGGGCACTGCCAGGCTGATGCTTGCCGCAGCGGCCTCCGGCACAGGGGTGGGTTTGCTCAGACACAGGCAGCACCCGGACCCC